CCCCTCCTTACTCCTCCTGCCCCTCCCTCCCCTCCTTCCGCCCTCCCCTTTCTCCTGCCCCTCCTCCCCTCCTTCCGCCCTCCCTTCTCTTGTCCCTCCTCTCTCCTTCTGCCCTCCCCTTTCTCCTGCCCCTCCCTCTCTCCTTCCACCCCTGCCCTTTCTCCTTCTCTCCCATCCCCTTTCTCCTGCCCCTCCGATCCCCTTACTCCTCCCCCTCCTGCCCTTTCCCCCTCCTTCAACCCCTCCCCTTTCTCTTGCCCCCTCCCAACTCCTCCCCCCATCCCCTTTCTCCTCCCTTTCCCCCTCCTCCCACCCCTCCCACTTCTCCTTCCTCTCCCTACTTCTGCCCCATCCCTTCCCCCTCCCAACTCCTCCCCCTTTCTCCTCCCCTCCCCCTCCCAACTCCTCCCCCTCCTATCCCCTTACTCCTCCCTTCCCCCTGTGACTCCCTCCTCCTCTCCTTTTTCTTTCTTCCCCTTCACCAACTCTTCCCTCTCCCCCACCCCCACCCCACTCCTTATCCTCCCCTCTCCTGTCTCCCCGTCCTCTCACCTTAGCCCAACCCAAACGTTCACAAATCACAAGATTGGCTTCAAAATCTGGAGCGTTTGTGAAATAAATAAATAAATCAACATCTGGCCTTCCTCTGTCCTCGAGCTTGGGGGGGTGGGGGTGTCACATGTCCAAGCTTTTCCCTGCGACCATGAGGCCTAGACACTTACAGCTAGCGTCAGTGAGGAATTTGACCACTAAATCCCGAGAGCTGTGGCGGTGTCAGTCCCCCCGGAGTGGCGCGTGCTTTCGGCCTTTCCCCCCAGTTTAGCTTATGTCTCTTTGGAGGTGGCTGAAGCTCAACTAAAATCCCTGACAAAATAACTGGTTGTTAACGCAGAGGGAAGGCTGCCCGGAGTCATCTCGGACCATCCAGAACACCGAGTTCAGCAAAACTCACCTCTCCAGGAAATGCCGAGCTACATTAATTTCAAACGTAAATGTATAAACCCAGGAATTACAGAGCTAACGTACACACACCAGCTCGGCCCCCCTTGGAGTTGGCGAGCCCCAAAATCTCCAGAGGGTGCATCCACACAGGGTGTTATACCACATTAGCTATAGCTTTATAATTACACTGGTAGACTTCTGCTGGTAGACAAGCCCTTAATGTTTTCTTCTTTTTTAAAAAAGAAAACTCAGATTCTCACGGCCTCCCATGACTCCAGGAGCTGGGGATATGAGACAGAACATCAAAACTCACTTAATAATAATAATCCTTCGATGTTATCTATGGTCTTTTCAGCCATAGATCTCAAAGCACTTTAGGGATGGGGAAACTGAGGCACAGAGTGAGGACGTGACATGCCCAAGGTCACCCAGCAAGCCAGTGGCTGGACGGGGTGTCGGTCTCCAAGCTAAAGCTTTGCCAACCCCTAAGGGTTCAAAAATGATGAGCCATCCCTCCCACACCCTCCAAAAAAATCACAAGATTGTCTTAAAAATCCCGAGATTTTAAATAAAATGAATGCTGGGATTTTGGGGGAAAAACACTTTTTGGGGTGAAAAATTGAAAGTCGGCACCTCATGGCGCTGCTTCTCCACTATAGCCTAGTGTCCTTGATTGGACTACATCTCCCATGATGCACCACAGCCTCCTCATGGGGGGCAGGGGCATCATGGGAGACGTAGTCCATCTGGGCAGCCCAGCCCACAGAAGAGAAAGCAAATATGAGATAACTGAACTACAATTCCCATGAGGCACTGTAGCAGTGGTTTAGCATGTATGTGCAATAATTACTTATTTTTATTCAGCTTTAATTAACTAATTAATTGTAATGCCTACAGGCCTGGGCTGTACCCACCTATAGCAAAAAGACAGTTCCTGCCCCACACAGTTTACAATCTAAGCTTAAGCATATGGACAGCCGGAAAATGTCAGCTCCTTAGCACATCCAGCCCCAAATGTGAGTACTGAGTCCTTGCAGATCTACAGCCCTTGGTGTCTGTGTGCCTCAGTTCCCCCCCCCTTCCTCTCCCCACTCCTTGTTTTGTCTATTTAGACTGGCAGCTCTTTGAGCCTGATCTCTTGCTCTGTGTCTGTGCAGCGCCTGGCACAACGGGGACCTTGATCTCAGTCTGTGTCATGCAGCGCCCGGCACAATGGGGTCCGGTTCTCAGTCGGGGTCTGTGCAGCGCCTGGCAAAACAGGGGCCCTGATCTTGGTCGGGGTCTGTGCAGCGCCTGACACGATGGGGCCCTGATCTCAGTCAGGGTCTGGGCAGCCCTGGCACAACAGGGCCCTGATCTCGGTCGGGGTCTGTGCAGCGCCCAGCACGACGGGGCCCTTGATCTCAGTCTGTGTCATGCAGCGCCCGGC